GCCCTATCTGCTGCATCGAGCAGGGTGGATAGGGGTTCGGATGCTGCTGCTGAAGCCTTCCCGTCTTCTTATTCCCCGTCTTGCGCTTTCTCACACTTATCGTCCCGTTCCAGCTTCGCTTTTATCCCCTCTGTTTTTTAAACCCCTAATTCTCGGCCCTCCCCCAACTTGCTTCAGTAGTCGCTTGTCTTTTAGTTTCAACTCACATGTGAACGCGGAGCATCATTCCTGCCCTGTCAACAGGCCCATGTCCAAGCAAGCGGTCCATTCCAGTTCATCGGCTTCCATTTGGAGCCCTCGATCCTCCTTCAATGTTCGCACATTACTACAGATCGGTCAACAGACAGCACTTGCCCGAACATTGGAGACCCTCTCAATCGATATCTGCTGCTTATGGGAGACCCGCTTGCAAGACTCTAGCTCTGTACTCACTCTGCGATCCCCTTCAGGTGAGACTAGCAGCACTTTCTCATTGCGCCTATCCGGTGACGATGCAGCTTCGAACACCGGCCAAGCCGGTGTTGGTATTGCTCTGAGTCCCCAGGCTGAAGCTACTCTGGTTGATTAGATTCCAATTAGTAGCCGGATGTGTACGGTCCGATCGGCTGGCTCGTTCAAAACTTCGAAGTCGCGTGGGCCTAAGCACCGACAAACTATAGCGATGGCTCGGTAAATGACGACTTCTATCGTCAACTGAACGAGCTCCTTAGCCACAGAAGAAGCTCGGACACTGTAGTGCTGGCTGGGGATCTGAACGCTCAAGTTGGAAAATCATCCACAGATGAGCTGCATTTTGGCGGCCAACATGGTATAGGCTCCTGTAATGATAACGGTGAGCGGTTACTTCATTTATGTGAGCTTGCGAGCACTAATTTCGGACACAGCACCCGCCGGAGGGTTACTTAGCGCCCACCAGCCTCGAACCATCAATGGACGCAAGTCGATCACATTGCGATAAGTTACCGATGGACAGGCTGCATCCAGAACTGTCGCTCGATTTGGAGCACAGATGTGGACACCGATCATACACTTGTGTTTGCTAACCTGCAGATGCGCTTTGGCGGACGTCCACGTCGATGTTGTCAGTGCATTGACACTAGCCAACTGGCGAAGCCAGCTGTTCTGAATGCGTATCAAAGTACGCTGTCATGCGAGTTGGATAAACGCTCACTGGACGCAATTGAAAGTCACTGGTCCCATATTCACCAGACCTCACTAGCAGCAGGAAAATCCTCATGTGGTGTGTCTATTCGCTAATATGGACATTGGGTCTCTTCACAGTCTCTGAAACTTATCGATGCTCGTCGGCATATTCCGGCTGGAAGCGAACACAATGAAACTCGCAACGTGCTCCGAGCAAAACTCCGTGCTAGCTTGAAGAGAGGCGGCGAATCCTGGTGGTCTCATCGTGCACCAGAGATGGAAATGGCCGCTGCCCTTGGTAACCATCGTAAGTTATTCCGTCTAATACGGGAAACGGGCAGCAGGAGATCTGATGTTAGTGAAACAATTTGTGACGAGAGTGGACAACCTATCCACTACTTATCAAAACGCTTGGAGCGTTGGGCTGCGCACTTTGCAAGGCAATTTAATCGACCTGAATGGTTAGATTTCTCGCCGACCAGTGATCGCCTCGCTCCCTGGGCTATCCCTTTGGATCCACCCTCTCGCTCAGAAGTCAAACGTGGAACCACACTGTTGAAGTTCAATAAAGCCACGGGACCTGATGATCTACCTCCAGCCCTCTTCAAATTCGGGGGACCTGCTCTTGTGGATGATTTACACGAGTTACTAGTCAAACTGTGGGAGCAGGAAACTGTCCCAACCGATTGGAGCCGCTGCGTCATAGTCCCAATTTTCAAGGGAGGCTCACGATCGGAATGCGGCAGCCATAGAGGAATCAGTCTGATCTCCATCGCCTCCAAATTGCTTGCCTCTGTCATCCTTCACAGACTGACTGGCACGCGTGAAAGCCAGATTCGTGAAGAGCAAGCTGGGTTTCGTCGAGATCGTGGCTGCATTGACCACATCTTCACTTTACGTCAGTTGTTGGAACACCGTCACATGTATTGGCGGCCCACCGTTGCCATGTTCCTCAGTATCAAAGATGCATTCGGTTCGGTGGATAGACGTGCACTTTGGGACTGTCTACTCAGGAAAGGTGTACCTGAGAAATATGTGAATATTATCCGAGCGTTATATGCGCGTAGCTCGGGCAGAGTGAGGGCTTACGGCAAGTTGTCGCCGCCCTTTACTATCTCCAGCGGCGTGAGACAAGGATGCCCGCTGTCACCTTTCCTCTTCAACTTCGCTATTGACGAAGTCATGGAAACCGTCTTCACATGACACGACTTAGAAGGTGTGGGTCTGCTCCCAGGAAAACGACTTCTTAGAGTATGGTGATGATATTGCCCTAATCTGTGACAGCTCCCAGACGTGTCAAGCGGCACTTGATAGATTAGCACTAGCTGTCCGTCACTTCGGGCTTTGCTTCGCACCCTAGAAGTGCAAAGCGTTCCTCCAAGATTGGTCTGGACCGCCTCCTTCGCTGACCGTTGGTGGGGATCAGCTGGAAGTCGTTCAAAAATTCAACTACCTGGGAAGTTGTATCAGCGCCCGTGGGATTGAGGATGAGATCACGAACCGTATAGCAAAAGCTCGGAGCGCTTTTGCTAACCTTCGGCACTTATGGCGCCGGCGCGACATCACTCTTGCCCTGAAGTGTAGAGTGTACAATGCACCGGTACGTCCGACCCTACTGTACGCTTGTGAAATCCGGTACCTTAAATCAACGGACCTGAAGAGGCTAGTTACCTTCGACCACCGGTGCCTTCGTAATCTGGTGGGAACACCGTGTGAGCAACGAGCGTGTTCGACGCCTTGTTTACGGCACAGGAAAAGGAACTGAACCGCTCAGCACCGTTATTCCACGCACCAGGCTCCGATGGCTCGGCCACATGTTACGCATGCCAGCCCACTGACTCCCGCGACTTGCGTTGTTTACGCGCCACTGCAACAGCAGACTCATTTAGCGGTAGATATACCTAACCGTCGAAGCTCCTCAATCCTTCGTCAAAAGCTTTAGGACCGATGAACGATATCCACAGCTAACTGACATGAGTACACAAAGGGCTCTCGATTAAAAGAAACGAAACCAAGTTGCTGGCTGAAATTGACAACCAGGATGGCCACAAAATCTCCCTGTACGACGACAGACGGGACCTGATGGCTGGCTCCGCCTTCGGATTGATGACATTCAGCGTGCGAGCACCTTTCGGATTGAATTTTGTACTATTCAACGTTTTAAGACTGTGTTGTGCTTCATCGCACTGCACTGCACGACAGTGTTTCTTCGGCATAATGTTGACCGTGGCCCCTGTATCCAACTGGAAACGTACGGGACGTTTCTCAGCAATCAGCGCCGTATATACTCCTCTTTTATTTCTTTGACGATCAATGTTACGTATGACAAGTTTATGAACAGCTGGCGCATCGTCGCAGTCAGCTGAGTTCAAATTCTTTGATCGGCAAGTCTCGCCAAGTGACCCTTCTTCGAACATCTTATACAGGTCGTTTCCCAGGCGAGGCAGCCTTCTTTTTGAGGGTCATGACTGCGACCACAGTACTTGCAGATTGGTTTACGTGTCGGAGCATTCTGCGATATCGCATACTTGGGCTGGGAAATGGCAAGTAGTTCAGGGATTGCCTAAGGCTTTATCTGACGAAATCGGAGCACTCTTACCGTATCGCTGTTATAAATGTCAATGCATTGGTCTAGTGTTAGGTTTCTCTGTTGCAATAATTTTCACGTAATGTTCTCATTCCTGAATGCCCAGTACGATTTGATCTCTCACCAGCGAATCGCATAGGCACTCGCAAAAATTGCATGTTCTTGCTAGCAATTGTAGCTCAGTTATATAATTGTTGACTGATTCACCTAGGAACCGTGTTCGACCAAAAAACAAGTAGCGTTGATAAATTTTATTAGCCCTGCCTTTACAGAACGCACCAAAACTCGAGAACACATCGCTCAAACTAAGCTCTTGATGCTCGCTTTCCAAATTGATTGTCTCTAGTACACGTTTTGCTTTATCGCCAGCAGCCTGTCGGAACATCGCCAACTGGTAATCAACCGGATGATTGCACAGCTGCGTCGGTGTGGTGAAACCCATCCACTTTGCTGTCTACAGGCGCCAGTTTTTGGAAAGTCAACTTCCGTCGGCATTGCGATAGATGGCTGCCAGCCAAAACAAAGCTGATGCTTGCTCATTTGTTTATTCTTCTCTTCTGTCACCATGTCGTGTAACGCTGTCCGAGAATCAAAAACGAAGACTGGGCTGCGAGCAGAATCTATTGGGGTCAGAATGCAACGTATTATTTATAGGGTAACCAAAGCTCCGTTCTGCGACTCCGATTTGCTCTTCATTGATTGGCTGCGTCTGGCAGAAGCCCACTATATTCATCGATCGAGCCAGTTGGTCATGCGAGCTTACCAAGCGACTCTCGCGCTCACGCGTGCAGCCGTTGCTGCTGGGCTAGCGGCGAACAATCGATCGCGCGGCCTCATGCCTGTTCGTTCCGAGTGCGTATGCGAACACCAACAGCCGCCATTACCACGCTCACACCACACCCACTACCTCCTTATGTTTCTTGATGCCTAACTGCTTCCGTTTTTAACTTTGTCGTTTCATTTTATTGCCCATTGTCGTATAGCATCTGCTCATGAGCACAAGACACCACTTTTATCATGGCGACATCAGTGATGCTTGCCTATTTCACTGTGTTGCTCTCTCCATAGCGGGCAGTGTGTGCGTGAGCATGAAGTGTGACATGGTAACGCTTCATATTATCAATTGCACGGTTTTTCATTGTTCTCACCTCGCAACTTCATAATTTTGACTACAGTACGACCAGGATTTAAGCAATTTTTCATCCGCATCCTTTTCCCTGTGTTGCTCGGTTACCGCCTGCATTTTTATTCCCTTGTTCTCTTTCTGAAGGTGTAAAGGCATACTCATGTTCCATCTGCGACAAAAGTTACACCCAGAAGCATTCACTGAAGAAGCACATTATCAGTGCTCATACAAGTGAGTCTTTACACTTGGTCATCCACTGGTGGCTCTTTTAGGCCTTGACAAATGCGGCTATCAGGATGGTTACTACCTCTTCATCATTAATGTTTATTCTAATAATTATCTTCTAGCACTTGAGTTACTTTCATTCACACGTCTTTTTTTACACATAGCGGTCTAACATCGTCTTACTTAGCGTCCACCTAATGGCAGCCTGCCTTGCAGCTGACGCATGTTTTCCCAAAATTGATGTTTGATCTGAAACCTTTATCCAATTCCGGCAGTACTTTGTCCATGACGTGCACTCAGCCTCAATAGGGACATCCACCTTCGATGTCGGTTACTCGTCACCTGTATCCGTGCTTCGCGAAGCAGCAGCATCATTTCGGATTGTCTTACCGATCGTCACTAATCACTTGGGTAAACACGCTAAACGCCAATGGGAGTCGCCTCTAATGTCCTGTGAACTAGGTACCTAAAATTTCTCGTTCGTTTAGCTTAAAACATCTAAATAGCGAGCATACTTATAGGGTTTCGATCAAGTAAGTCGCGTCTCAGAAGCCTGTTTCACTAGGAGCATTGTGTAGCGTATTCGTGGCACCATGATGACATCCAGCTAGATTCTCACAGTCGCTGAGGAGCATTAGTAGAGTATGAAGACCGTTGCTTTTTAGAACAGTCGTTCACTGTTTCCACTCTGGTGAAAACAGGGTCCATGAGAGACCTTTGCTAGTGAGACACTGGTGATGCAACTTCTGCAACCTGATTACTAAGCTCGGCAAACACCTAGAGATCTGAACATCCAGCCTGAGCTACCAGTGTTTGGAGTTATTTCGAACTGTTGGTGAGAGACGGACATGTGGGCCCACTTACAGATACATAAACTGCTCCGTTGGAGAATTTTAACTTGCCTTCTACATCGCCATTGCTGGTTGAATCATTCGAACGCTGTTGAGTCGTTGGCGCTAAAACCTTTACACAAGTTGATGCTATTACTGTGGAATAGGATTCCTGGTCATGATGTGTTTCCACTAATATTGCTGAAAGCTGTAGGCGACTCACTAGTAACTGGTTTAAGCTTTATTTTGCATCACCTAGCGTTTAGAGGAAATTAACTCAACTTGGTGTTTTTCTTCTTTAGCGTGGGCTCTATTACATCTTACAAAACGCATCGAGATATTCTTCACATGATAAGTACTTCCGAACTACTCAGTAGTTGCATCCTTTAAAACCATGCTGATTTCCGCTTTGATAGAACATTCGTTATCATTGTTATTACCGTTACTATTATTACTATTATATCACGTTAGTTAGAGGTGGAAAAGACTTCAGCTATTGTGCTGCTATACATTATAAAAGAAAAAACGTGCAGCTAAGTTACCAGTAACGGATGGATATGATCCCGGCTATTGCGCCATAAAAAAGGTTACAGTATGCTTGGTAAATGTGATCATGATTGGACGGGGAGGCTAAGTGTGATGGGAAGGGACGAAGAAACTCACAACACAAACGCCACTGTAGTCGGTTCCTTGCCATGTCAACAAGTGTATCCAGACAAACGTGTTCATCGTCTTTCGGAATCCCACCGGAGAGCCGAGGCTCCAGTCGAGGTCTACTTCGAACCAATGGCATTCACTCCACTTGTCCAAGTCATCGCTTGGCCACCCCCTTTTCCTCCATCCGCCCCTCCCCCGACGCGCAAACAACGCATGTCGCGTGAGTTGGTATGCGCAACACGTGGCCCAGTCGTTGGGGCCTGGTGCGTGCTATAACGGTGCTGAGGGGTTCACTTCTTCTTTCTGTGCCATAAACAAGGGATCGAACACGCTCGTTGCTCACACGGTGTTCCCACCAGATTTGAGCCAAACTGCGAAGGCACCGATTGTCAAACATAACTGGCCTCTTTATGTCTTCTGATCTAATGGGCCAGGTTTTACAGCCGTAGAGCAGAGTTGAATGGACAGTTGCATTGTACGGTCTACCCTTCAGGGAGTGACGTTGCGCCGGCGCCATAGGTGGCGAAGGTTAGCAAACGCGCTCCGAGATTTTGCTATATGGTTTGTGACCTCGTATTCAACTCCAACGGCGTTGATACAACTGCCTAGGCAGTTGAGTTTTTGAAAGACTTCTAGCTGATCCCCAGCAAGGGTTAGCGCAGGAGACGGTCCCTGCCAATCTTGGAGGAAAACTTCACACTTCGATGGTGCAAAGCATAGCTCGAAACAGCTGACAGCCAGTGCTAATCTATCCAGTGCAGCTTGGCATGTTTGTGGACTATCTCAGATTAGGGCAGTATTCTCTGTTGAAAAGTCGAGCACTTGGGAGCAACCACATCGAATTCGTATCCAGTGAAGGCAGTTTCCACAACCTCGTCAGTAGCAAACTTGGAACGGAAAGGTGATAGTGGATATCTTTATCTTACACCGCTGGAGATATTGAAGGGCGGCGACAATTTGCCACAAGCCTTCACTTTGTTTAAGTTCCGTGCGTAAAGTGCCCTTCTGATATTTATGTACTTCTCGGGCACACCTCTTAACTAATCATCGATTCACTTTGGTATCTGGAAACATAACTATGGTGCGTCGCCAGTGTAAGTGGTGGTGCTGGCTAAAGTGAAGATTCGGTCAATGCAGCCTTAATTTCGACGAAATCCGCTCTTACTCTTCACGATTATGGCTTCCACGCGCCAGTCAATCTGTGGAGAAGGACCAGTCGCGAACTATTCACTCGGTTTTCTTCCTTGAGTAGCGTCATCGCCTCTGGTGGTTGCTTAGTCTACACGATTACCAGCTCGATTTCTGATTATTGGGGGCCTTTCATTACTTGGTTTATGGAAGCGATCAAGAACAGGGTGCACAGTATTGCAATGATGCAGCTGTTACTAACTGTACCGGACGTTTGGCTATTGTGCACTGAAGAACTTAAACCATTACTTACGTTTAACGGTTATGCGTTAATCGTGTCTGTTAGGATCACCGAGTGAGTACCATTCATATCCGCGGCTGATATTTCACATCAAATTGTCACCAAACAAGATAGCCTGTGATGATCAAATCTTATACGCTAATGCAGTCGCATTCTTCAATCGTCCATCAGTCCACTTGACGTGCTGACCGATGCTACATTTATTTCTGAAAAGTCCTGAAGTGGTAGATATTGACGTTACAACGGGTACCACTGAACTTATTGAAATACTTGGCCGTGTCAGCGCACGCTGTCTTCCTAGCTTGAGGTCTTGGAATCCGCCGCATTATCGCATCAAATATGACGCACTCTACTCACTGCTTTTAACTGTACCGTTCCAAATGCCAGATGTAATTCTTTCGTTGCTCCTCTGATTGCTCCCTCGCTATTCGTTTTTATTTCATTCTTACTAACATTTTTACCATGACGAGTTGAGTCAAGGCGAATGAATTCACCTCACGGCTGCTTAACTGGCCTGAACCATGCACTTTACTTCATAAAACCATCTGTGTGTGGTATTTGACCTCATCGCCAGTTTTCGCGATTACCGTTCCTAAGTAGCCCCTCAATTCTCTCTCAACGGCAACCTGCTAACCGGATCAAGAACACTGTGCGCCACTAGTCCATGCTTCTGGCATTCAGACGGACCAACTTCATCGCTGTCGTGCCTTGGTAAACTTTTCTCCCTGTTACAGAATGCGTGTAACCGATGGGCACTTAACAAAACTGTCCATACTGAGTCTCATGATAAATATTACCGTTTTGATTCAATTTTTTGGATTCGTTCCGCGAAAGCGCACGTTTTTTATGGTTGCCTACTTTTCTGCTCTAATCGCGCATGCTGGCAATGTTTTCCCGTTGATATGCTCAAAGACTCTGCCGTAAATGGAAACTCCGATGAACGTATTGCTCTTCGTGTTGGACAGCGTCCGGGAGAATTTTCATCAAATGACACGATGGAACGTCGGAAACTGTGGGTTCACTCACCCTTATCGAAAAATCCTAGGCACAGTCCGTCGCATTTAAATAGTGAGTTGCAGCTCAACACTATTTTTCAATGCGTTGGAATTATCGCATGGGTTTTTTAGACTGGACAAACATCCACATTACCGTTTACGCCTCTGTTTCAAATCCACCAATTTATCCCGAACATAGTTTGCGTTGGAGGGTTTTGCAGTGTTTTCGGGCGGGCAACACCCAATTTCCATAGTTTTCTTTCTTTTTTTCTTTGTGGGACTTTGTAACCTTCGTTGGTGCTTGCGAAGAGCCGTGTTTAAACTCGTTTACCTCATCCACTTCGCGTCTGAACGCTAGTTCTCCCTTTGTTAGCGGTTAAGCCGGCTGAAATTGTTTTCTTCCATGGAATAGCACGTTTGGAACATCGTCCACCTGAAGCCACCCAGCTTCACACGTGTGAAGTTGCACGATTTAATGTGGCTCCTTCTTTTCATTCCCTGGCAGTTTGGTTTATTTTTAGCGGACCGTGCCTACTCCAATAGTAGAACTAACCGATTCTTTTGTTCCGTCCCTATTGATGATCTTATCCACGCGTTATTTTCTGATCTCTAAAATTTGGAACAGCCATCGTGGCGGTGTCTTTCTGCATCTGGCAGCGCGTCGATAGACACGTTATCGACGTTAGCAGTCTAATTCATGCTTTGAATTTGCGGTGCACCTAACATCAAGTCTAGCTCGGTCGGTTTATCAACCCTTCTCCCTCCATCCTCCCGGTCTCTGGTATCAACAAATAACGCCTAGCTTTCTCTTCATCCACTTCTCAGTCAATTGGTTAGCGTTTCGTTTAGAACTGTGGATCGGTCGTTTAATTTTTGTCTGATAAATGCACGCGCAGTATTCATTCAAGTCAATACTTTTATAACACCGCTTATCTCAATTTACAGGCGCCCATTGATCGTGGAACCTTTTTGAAGAAGCGGACTGTTTTACGACACTTGGTACAAAAAGTATTTTGCATTTAGGACTGTTTCCGTACGCATTTACTCTTGTTCTCCTTCCCAGAGTCAACTACCTCATACCCCTTACCTCTCACTACCTCTAATTTTTTACCGCTGAAAAATGTGTGCATTTATTATTTTCAACTATTCTGTGAATGTTGCAAGAGTGATAAGGAAATGAGATTTTTTACCCTTTTCTTTTGATACGGTTTTACGATCCCGATTGATGTTGCCCCTCTCCGATACATCTTATCCACCCACAATCGCGGTGAGCCTACATTCCTTCCATTGTACCACGTGTTGTGTAACGTTTCAAACACGCATCATTGATCTCACATGATGATCGTCTGTTACAATAAACTGCCTTCTTATTCATCCTGTGATGACGCATACTGAGGTTACTTGCCATCCAGGACCAGTTAGGACGCATCCCTGATCTTCCGTTATTCGAACTCAGGACTGTGCAACTTGAAGATCAGAGCACCTTAGGCCATTGAATCACAGGTGACTTCAATATTGACTGTACCTTATGGCACACCTCAACTCCCACTTCCATGCGCCACCTTACTGTTGTGCAGAGCGCGTTGTTGGCGCCCGAAATTGTAACTCTTGTTCATTCACCAACTATTTCTTGACATTACGAGCTACCGGAGCAGTTGCTTAAGTAACTAGGCCGTTTGACTGAATTCAGTCGTAACAAACTTATTGATTAAGTGGAGACATTCTGAAGCGCTTGTTGTGTAAATGGGTTGCGACGCGCAATGTAGGCTACGATTCACTACGAAGTGAACCTCGGTTGACTGGGATCACGTCTGAAGCGGATGAGCGTTACATATTGTCTGCCCAGTAGCTTAAGTGTTGAAGCTTCGACTAATATCGAAACGCCCTGGGATTGAGTAGAAATTCTGCTATTTAAACCTGACGAGTGTAAAGTAATAAGTGCGAAGCCGATCGTGGGGTGTATTGAGCGAGCAACGCCTAACGTTTATCGAACACTTGTTAATCTTATTGGATCCGACTGGCCATTGCAGTTTCCTGTTACTTATCCTTAAGTTTACGGCTCACCGATAATCGCTACAGAAAGTTGGGAGTGTGCGATCGTTTCATTCTGCGCATGATGGCTTGAGCTCACAAAGCCTTGTTCCCCCGTCGTAAATCCTCCTCCAATTTCCTAATAACCTGCGGTTGTTTGTTCATGCGCATGAGGCCCATCGGTTGTATGCAGAGTAAGTCAGTGAGTTCATTACTTTGCTTTCTTTGAGCAGTCAACGCGAGACAGTACCTGGTGGTTGCCTGAGTCAATGGAGTTGGTGGTTCGTTCCATTCTCTGAACAGCTATTTTTTTCCGTTTGTACCCCTCCTTTAGTGAGACGGGGTTGAAAGTTCAACATCTCCTCAGGTATTAACGGATTCCTCAATCATACCGTTACACCGCCGGTGCGTAGCTTTATTAGTTTGCCAAATATGATTCAGCACAGATGTGCAACGGATCCAGTTGCCATGGTACATATCGACAGAGGGCTACCCTGACCTCTGCACGGCAGTAACGTGCAAGTCAGTGCATACTGATCGGTGCTATATCACACTTAGAAACTTATTTACGATGGTCGTTGCCGTCCCCCGTAGCTCAGTGGTCTCAACCACTGACTGGCAACAGTCGAGTTGCTGGTTCGAGCCCTACCCGGGTCAGGTAGAATCGCACTGCTGACGATTTCCGAAACGGTGAAATGCGCATACAGTGCTTTTTCGGGTGCGTGATGGCTGTCTGCGTGAGCCTAGATGTGACAAAGTTCTACCTATACCCTTCAACTCCCTCTACTACTCCTATGTAATATTAATAATAGTGCAAGAAATAGAATCGCCAGGCGGAATGTTTATGGCGCAGTAACGATTAAAGGAATGTAAGAGCGCGACCTTTGACGTGGCAGATACCGGGGGTTTCATCCGATGAGACGACAGGCACCAACCCGACAGTTTTTCGGCGAGTTTCTCCATACTCATCTACTATGTCACCTCGGCGTTTCGCTCAATACACGGAAGTAGTCAGATGGCTGGCTTACGGAGCACATGATCGAGCCGGCGGGGGTGATTTCAGTTCAATAAGCACTCCAATGAGTCATTAGAAGACCTATTGCCAAGTGCTATATGACGAGCTGCAGCATTAGTCAGTCGGTTCTCTACCATACAATACCAACATTGCACTGGCATCGGGGGGTCAAAATGGTCAGTTTCCTTACGTCGTCAGCGAGTAGCGCCCAGATTTCTGATCCTTGTTGTAACGTGGGTCGCACCGCAAAGTTATGAACCCTTTAGCCATTAAGCTTATATCACAGTCTCCACAAGTGGCTGCGGCTTTGAAAAGCCATGCGACGTCTATCAATGCGTCAGATGATTTTATCGGTGATACATCTGCTTACGTAAGTACACCGTTTTGAGATGCTCTTCCATAGTTGTAAAAACTCATAGCGCATCTGCTAAGCCGTAAAGCGGTATCTCGTTTGCATAACAGCTGGGTCCGATGCAAACAGAACCATGTAGTGCTCTAACCTCGGCGGCACGTCACCTTCACCTCGTAATTGGAAAAACATGGATGAATTGTTCATGATTATTTCGATCCCAAAGGTGGATAGATGGGGTAACTCTTGCGCACTTCACGGTTAACCGCAGAAGCAGAGCAGAGGATAAACAATAAGATTACTTCAATGGAAGCGAGTATGCACCACAGAAGCGTAGCGGCTTCTAAGCAACGGAATGCTGAACAATCCGCTTTCCCTGAACCGCAATCAGCCACCTCTCCATCTCTGTTGTCTTCAACTTTGGTAGAACGCCGGGCGAAAACAGACCGTACCTACGAGAATCAAACAGTACTCACGTCAACGAAAATCAGGCACCACTCAAAACGTCTGGTTAAGCAAATTCCACTAGACTTGACATCTAGCATTAACAAGGATGAAGCAGCCAAACACCAACCCTTGGTACCTGTAGCTCAAATATCTCTTGTCGAGAGTAAGCCTCCCAGAACATGGTTACATATGCAGAGGTTGCTGCAAGGGTCCACCGAGGCCGCCGTTGCGGCATTACGGGATCGGCGACCCTCTTTTATGCTGGATCGCCAATTTTCTATTTCAAAGGCAATTAGTAGTCAGAGTTCGGGCTTTTTATCGGACCCCATACAAGTTGTGTGTGGTGTGCCGCAAGGCTCAGTTCTAGGTCCATGTTTGTTTTTGGTGTTTATTAATGATCTTGCACAGGGAATCGCTTCAAACTTTCTAACCAAGATCTGGCGCAGGATCCAGGCGAACGCCGATCAACATGTGCTTCAGAGTGATTTAGATACGGTGTATCAATGGTCTACGCAAAACTTATTGCATTTCAACGTCAGTAAATGCAAGGTGCTTTCCATCCGACATCAGAGCAGCTACTCATACCGACTCGGAACGAATATACTACAACAATCAATTCTCGAACGTGACTTGGATGTCTTGGTTCAAGATGACTTAGGTTGCTCTAGGCAATCCGAAAAAGCCTCGAAGACCGGGAACCAACACGTCGGGCTGTTGAGGCGAGCGTTTGAACAAATAAACAGCTCCATATTTCGACAAATGCTCAGTGCGTATGTTCGCCCCCATGTCGAATATGCAATTCAAGCCTGGCATCCATGGCTGAAACACGACTTTAATGCATTGGAGCGGCCACAACGCCGGGCATCTAAGGACGTAATTGGAATGCGCAATCTTTCCTACCAGGAGAGGCTGAAACGACTGGGATTGTTCAGTGGAAGCTATCGCAGACTACGAGGTGACTTGATTCTGCGAGACCCACATCATGTGTGCCGCCCTTTACTACAACTCAGCAGCAATACAAACCTGAGGGGCCACTCATTAAAACTCGCAGAACAATACAGTCGTCTGGAGTGCCGCAGAAATTTCTTTTCCATTCGTGTCTGTCACCCGTGGAATGCTGTCCCAGAATCGGTCATCTCTGCACCGACACTAACAGTATTTAAAAGACGGTTGGACGATGCACTCATCCACTTACACTTTGTTACTTAACACTACGTCTCCATCCTACACTTGGAGTTTACCATGGAATTATTTGTTGTTAACTGTGGGTGCTGTGAATCTAAGAGGATCGCAGGACTACAACGAAGCAAACGATAAGTCCTTATTTTCATATTTATGTTGGTAACTATTTTACTATCCTTATTATCATTATTGTTATGTTGATATCCCCACCAACTATCCAACGGGACTTGTAAAGCAACGCTTCTTAACCCGTATAAATTCATTGTTCATTGCGGACCCTCACAAGGATAAATTCTGCAGGGTATTCGTAAAGTCTGGACACAGAATAATTGGATATTTTTACTACATTAAAATAAAATACAAAATCATTAACGGATTTTTGCCTCCACAGATTAAGCACTAGACTTCAGTGCGGTTGATTTCTTTTCCTGGGAAGAAAAAGTGTACTCAACAAAAATCATAAATCCTAAGCACTTAACGAATAAAGAATGAAGGTAACAATATGGGTTATTGCATCAAGTTCACGAAATTTGGCGAATAGCATCTGGCGGCTTAGGGGTAGCGGTCACAAACTAACATCCCATTGGCTTCGGGTTCGATACCTACTATCACCATCTGATGAGATCAAACAAATTAGTTTTATCTTTTCTAACTATTTTTTCATTCACAGGAGCCTTCTCTGGATCACTACAGTGAAATAGTTGAAGGAACATTGATGTTCCTGATTACACTGACTTTCTTCATGTTTGGGCTCTCGCTGATCACCATCACTCGTGGTCGATTCTCAGACGACGCTTCAGTGTTACGCGCACTTTGGAACTTGCTAGGATTAAATTAAGCCTAATTCCAAGACGGCAATGACATCCCATTGAGAGTGATGCTTGCAATAAGTTGCTCCACGGCCCCGCAACACACGCGTAGCGAACCATCCCGGTGGGTGGGTGCGATGAGTGATGGTAGCTAATGATGGGATATAACGGGAGTGCTGTTCTGCGAATCACCGGCGTACAATTGACGGTACGTAACCGTATGTAAAGCTGATATTTTAGTGGAAAAAACAGAGATGCGTTAATTAACCGGGACGAAGTTAAGCAAGAAAGCTGAATATCCGCTGTTTATGTACATGACATGCTGGTACAGTAACCTGAGGATAGCTGTCCCGAACTGCGTTAACAACGAAGTGACTTAGTTGAGGAAAGTCTAAAGGGGATCGTAAACACAGAAAAATATGAGAACAAGAGGTAAAAGAATGTGGTCAATGGTGGTTATATACATACCCAAGAAAAATGGGAGCGAAAAATTAACATTTGAAGGTGAAGAGGTTATATGACCGGGCTCCTAATCCAAACGGTGTGCGCAGGAAGCGTGTTATGCAGCACCACGAGACTCCGCTGAAATTTATTGGTACTAGGGTGCGTGGAGCTGCGTTTATATTATTCGAGCGGTTTCAATCGATGGGGACGCAGTCGAGAATTGTATCACACGGTGGGGAAGTAAGGGAGAATGACGCTATGTGTGAAAACATCCGTGAACCGAGCAGTTCGATATGCGAAGGTAAGTCGCAGTTGGCCATAATAGGAGCGTTAAATATCGGCACGAGCAAGTCGATTCGCTTCCGCAGCTCATCGTAGAGCGATGGCGGCAGAAAACACGGTGGATCACAGCTTGCTAGCAACAGCGCCCGAATTTTGTGAAGTAACACTCCTGAAAGGTTGAATGCTTAACAGCAGAAGGGAATCGTTTGCGCAACGCATATCACGTGCCCTCGTGAATGGCCTCAATATGTCGCTTGAGGCTCGATTTCTGCGAAAAATTTCGACGACAGACGTGACATCCGAAGGGTTTTAGTCCTTTGTGCACCGCATCAACATGTTTATGTAAATCGGAGTTCCGAGAAAAGCCCTTATAGCACATGGTGCACTCGAATGGCTTGACACCTAAAGGAGGAGTGAAAAAGGTTAAAAGGATATCTATTTTTAACGCAGTATGAAGCAGAATTCAAAGAATGGAACAACAATCTGGACAAACCTTTGTGAACCGCTCTGATGTGGAGATTCAAGTTACAGTTTTTCGTGAATACTTTGTTGCAAAATGCACATGTTAGCACCCGGAAGCCTGTCGAGGAAAACCGGTAATCGTAATAGTTGGAGTAACAAACAAATGATCAACAGATAGAAAAAAGAAATTTTTACCGCAGTATCGAGACAAATGGCTGTATATCTAACGACAACGTGAGAACAGGAATATTCTCTTTTCGATTATAGCCCAAACGGGAGCAAATAAACGCGTTAGTTTACATTAGAAAACGGGCAAGAAATCGGGGCAAAATGTCGAAGAGCAGAACTTCACTTAAACCAGAGTGAAAAATTATGAGCGAATCCCTGATGACTGTGTAAGGGCATTGCAACAGAGAGAGAAAAGGCAGAACACATTTTCGACGAGGTGCATCGGTCGTATGTTTGGAGAATGCTTGTCGAGAACGAGGCATCAGCTTAATGGAAAGAGGTAGAGTTTGGAGTCAAACTGATGCGGCCAGTTTGTTGAAGGTTGACAAGACGGTCATTCGTGTTCACTAAAACCTGCGAAGTGCTGCTAGTGCCACGTTTTATGAAACAAAGTTTGTAAAACGGGTAAAATGCACAGACTTGACATGTCCCGTGAGATGGTTTGTGCATATCACATAAGTTCAGAAGGGTGACAGTAAATTGAGACGCTCACCATAATATATACGTTAATACACATGTATATCCGTCCATCCCGATTTCGCGGTGGCTGGTGAGCACAATGTTTGTCCATGTTTTTAGTCACTCGATGAGCGGAGTTCTGATCACATAATGCAAATGGTGTAACGCAGGGTGCAGAAATATCCAGAGTTGGAAGTGCGTTTCATGGCCGACAAATTCGAAGATAAAATTAATTCCGGTAGCATTCCAGCCAACTGTTTTGAGTGGCCAGTTTCAGGTAGTGGTCCCTC